ACACGATCGCCTATCGTTATGGCATAGTTTCCCCGGCCGTGAAATTTCGCAGAACCTTGGAGTCTTTTATCGTGCCATAAATGGGCGCGCGCGTCGTACACGGTTGGACTGGATTTTTCGACCAGCTGACTTTGGATCCTAAAGAGAGCGCCAGCTGCGTATCTTGTGAAAAGGATTGTAGCCTGTAGCAGGACGGCTGGGCGGTTGGCACATAACTATGTAGTGGAGTAGTCATGGCGGTATGCCGTCTCTCGTGTACGGGGAGGAAGGAGGACCAACGAACAGGTCACCACTTGCCTCACTGCTCACTACCTACTGGCGAAGCGTGCCTCAATTTCTCTACCGTTTGAAACCGCTTGTGACGATCAAGCGATAATTTCGCCCTCATTCCGTAGAAGCGTACATCCCTACAGCTATGCGAGTTATGCGTCTTTTCCACGCATCAGCCGCCAAAGTTGTCATCATCCGAATTTGCAATAGCTTGAAGACGTTGAAACGTGGCTGAGGCAGTCCCAGACTAGAATGGGTATGTAGCGCGAGTGTTCCGGGTCTCAACATAACACCCGCTGTAATTTTCCCATGCGCTGCTTTGGCGGCATTGTCTCTCTCTCCAGCCTTTGGCTGTGCCGGTGTCGATCCCGGCTGTTGGTGCTTGCGACTGTGCTGCCCTCCGTTTTGTCGCCGCAGATGCTGTTGTTGCGCTTTGTGTTGAGATACAGTAATGTATTGAGGTTCTTGTGCCCTCGTCTTTCTGTCCGTTGTTTCTTTTGTTCCATGCCGTGCAGGAGGTGGACGGGGGCAACCTAGAAGCGTGGGAAAAGGCTCACCACGACTTGCTTACGTCGCAGGTATGGTGTGCGTTGTATGGCGTCGTATTGTATTTCGCCGACGCATGTCAGCGACGCGTCGAAAACAATCGCAAGAGATGGGAAGTCGGGAGAGCTGCGGAGGGGAGTTACCGAGAGACTTGACGAACAGATGACTAGACAAGTTAAAGACAAAGTTGACTCGTGTTCACCGAAAAGTTTCTCACGGATTTAGGCATACCGCGGCACGTTGTTGTTGAAACTCGCTTCCGATGTTGTCTTTTAATTAGATCCAGATAGCGTGATACGCAAGGTTGAGATAGTTATGGCTGGAACAAGCGACAAGTGACGTGTTGTATCTGCTTCTCTGCCCTTACGGTCGCATTCGTCTTGTTGGATCCCTATCCGCCCCCGCAGGAGGCGAACGCCTACTTGCAAATGGGACGGAGTTGGGAGCAGGTGAGGGAATCCTGTAGTCGGAAAGCCATCCTCACGTCGACAATGTTGACTAGTACGAGAGTATTGATGGTGGCGTCTCCAGGTGACGATGGGGACCATTTGCTGGACCAATGAACCCCACAATGAACCGCATGGGTTCATAGGGAGGGAAGCACGCGAAATCAGACAATACTTTTTCTCGAAAACCTTGTCGACCATTACATTGTAACTGTTTTGAGACAGTGCCAGCCGTTATTTTTCTCCTCTAGTATCCCCCGCTCGATCGCGTAATATATTACGAAGAGGGGTATGAATGTTGACGTTTCGCGAACCAAATGGCAGAACGTGAAGTACCCACATGCTGGTGGTGTCTTTGGAAGAGAGAGCGGTGCCTTGTCTTGAAAGGAATTCGTGGTCAACGACGAAATCATAATGGGAAGCAACAAGCAAGATGGCGACTTTCTCCTGCTCGTGCTTCGCCTGCTTGGCCTGCAATTCCTGCAAAATTTCAGATCTTGGAGTCCCTGTTGCTCCTGTACAACTATTGGAAGGTGCGGTCTGCGTTTCTGATTTTGTTTTTCTGACAACGTTTCATTTTGGCCAGTTTTTGGTTGTGGTCATGCTATTGCTCCTCTTTCATTGAAACACGCCTGCGACCAGTGAACATCTCGCGGCGCTTTACCGAGAAGGACTGTAGTCCAGGCGGCGGGTCTACACGAACCCGTGAAGACCATACACGAATACCGCTTCGAAAACAACTCAAGCTTTGGATCTAGAAAATGCTAGTTCGCGAGCACGCACGGCGACAAGCGAAGAGATTGCTGAAGCTTGCTCGCAAAGCTAATTGAAGGCATTCATGGCGGTAGGAATCCCTGTCTGTGTGGGTGCCGTTGGTACGCCCAAAAGTGTGCCGAGAGAGGTGTAGGTGTAGACCCGTACGTCCGCAGTAGATGAGATGAGAAAGGGAAACTTGGACTGTTACAGACGAAACCACCGACGCTTAGCGGTCTTGTTGAAGCTGCTGTCGGTTGTGTCGGTGTACTCCGCCCACTTCCAAAATGGTGCATCTTCAGGTGAAAACCATTCGATGGCGTGTTTTGCCCTCCCCATGCTAGAAACGCCTTCTTTGACAGGTGGTTTGGCTTAAGAATGGGCGCGTAGTCGATGCTTTCAATGGCTACGTTCGGCGAGCAAAGAACTACCCACTTGCTTCTTGTGAATACAATATGCAGGTGAATCTGAAGGACGACAACATCGTATTCGGGGACGCGGGGAAGTCCACCGGCAACGATTACTTCGCTTGACTTGAATGAGGATTATCAGCCATTTTGGTGCTTGTTCGCGGCAACGCGTCCCGGATGCATGTCAAGGCGAATCAAGCGGGATCAGTCATCCGCGCCGGAATGTAGCACAGGGAGTAAACCTGTTGCTCGGAGGACGGAGGCGTCACAACTGCAGGCTTGGCGTAGGACGGCCTTGTACTCTGCTACATTGTCCCTCGGTATTGTAGACACACCGTGTTTCGTTGTTCTGTTGTCGTGGGGTTCTTCGGTGTAAGTAAACGTGTGATACATCCATCCGTGTCCTGGTGTAACATTTCTTGAGAGCACAGCTGCAGCTGAAAGAGGAGAGCAGCAAAGGTGCCACTTTATGAATGGGTCGGAAAACGGTTGTCTCTAGCAGCCGGCCGGCCGTGTTGTGGCGGTTGGTATTTATATGAAAGGTCTTTGTGCCTCTCTTATGCATATTTGCATCGCGTCTATGCTCAGCTTCGGCATTATTATTAAAGGTTTTGCGAAGCGTTTTGTTTCCAACGACGCGGGGATATTGTGCGCCGTCTCTAGAATCTAGCAAGCTACAGAGCCTTTGCCGCTGAGCAGGAGCGACAGGTTGTATTGGGGATGACTTTCGTGGAAATCATGTCCTATGTTGCAACGAGCGGTTACGCGGTAGCTTTTTTGTTTAGCGATTTCTCCACGTCAATACCCTCCTCGTATCCTGGCTAGTGCGGAACCGGAATCGGTGTGTGTGTACTGTAGTTCGACTCCGGGTGTGGCTCTTACGACACCAGGATGGTCCGCTGTAAGGCATGCCTTGGGAGTACTTCCCAGTAGATGATGTCGCGTTTGTGTGCCAGTGCACACTGCACCGACAGACGGGGACAGATGTTGAGCACTCATGCCTCGAAGACAAACAAGTGTGCGTGTGTGTTGGTGTTGATGCATTGTTACAAGCAACGGCTGGAGCATGTTCTGCTATAGACCTCTCGCCTCTATGTCAGACTCCAGTTGTGTGTTTTTCGATTACGGGTTAGTGTAGTATCTGTTCTCTGCATGAAATAGGCCCCAGCAGTTACTGACTCACACGCTTGATGAGGTACTATGTCACTGTTTGTGTGCATCTTGTGCTTTCTGAATGATCTCGGGCGGGGTCAACAGTTGTCTTAAATCATACTGTAGGGGCTCTGGAATTGTCGAGAGAGCGCATTTGAAAAAAGTCCGTGGCTTTTGCTCTACTCGTGTGGGATACCACAACGGTTTTGTCGCTTTACGTTCTGACGGACGAATCGCACCCGACTTTTAAAGTTGAATTTTTTTCAGTTTTTTTTTGCGTAACATGGCTTTTCCCGTTTTTTGCTGTGACGCCGAAGATTTTTGTTTCGTTTTCAAAGTCGTTTGGTTGGATTGAAGTGAAGCGGGTTGGTGTACTTGCGATGGACAGTGTGCCCTACATGAAATCTCGACAGAGAAACGGGGTTCGGTTTCGGAGCGAACACCAAGCGAGGCGTTTGCCCCTCTGATAAGATGTTAATGACGCTACGGGTACACGACGATCCGGACCTACGACTGCGGCCCCGCCCTCGGCGGCAGTCGGGCAACGGAAGTGCTAACAGGAGGCTTTCCCTAATGGCTTTTTCGCATGAGGGTTACAGTTGTCACCTTGTCGAGCTGGGTGGGTCCACGGATGATGAGTCTACCCTTGGTGGGCGAGAGGTATCACGGCCGTCATGTGTTCGTCGCTCCGGGCAGGCGGAATGTTCCCTGATGATTGGCTGCATAGGCGATCAGTTTGAAAAAAGAATTGCTCGCGTTTGTGCCACGTGTTGCTGCTCTTGAGTCCGCCGATTTCCAGGGGTTACTCAGACAAAACGGCACTGTTTCGGTCGTTCAACCGGGGACGTACGCGCGACGCCAAGACAAACGAGCTGCACGTGGAATACGAGGTTCTGTTTTCGTCGCCTTCTCGAGGCCTTCGAGCGACTTCGGCTTAAGGCCGAAGCGTTTTGGCTTGTTTCGGCTTGTGCTGTAGGCCCGTTCACCATGGACGTCATTGCGTCGATTTCCCGCTTATGCGCGAACATGGTACATGAACGTGATGAAAGTGACATGATGTTCTGCTTCCCAAGGACGAGGTGGTCCATACGATCCGCAATAGGCAATAGGCACGACAGTGCGGGCGGGACCACAGACCGACGCACAAGACCTCACCCCATACATCCAGCTGTTAACGGTAAACTGCCGCGCCCTTGAGCAACAGTGCCATAGTCTAACAGCTCTATTTGGTGGTGGCAACCCCGTCCGCTTTGGCTGCGCTCCCCCCCACGGCTCCTGCGTCACCATCAGCAGCATCACTCTTGTCCCTGGCATCCACTCCACCGCTGCGATTGGCATCACCATCGGCGTCATTGTCATCCCTTCTGACTCCGCTGTGCTGCTTGTCGTCACCGTCGCCACTTTTGGTGTCTTCATCTTCGCCTTCGTCTTCTTCTTCGCTCGCCGACGCGTTCGGGTCTAGTCCTGCTAGAGCCCTGGCCGCGCGCTTTTCTTTCCACTCCACCAAGGTCGGTATCAGGAACGTCTCCATTTTGTCGGTCCCATCCCAGCTGGGAGTACCAAGGGAAACATTGTCGTGGGTCATTGGGGGGGTACAGAGTTGCAAGTACAGAGGGACGGAAGGACGCAGGGAATGAATGGGCAAGGACGCCATTTGGAGGACGTGTGCAGAAGCATTGGTACCGCCCATGGGAAACCCGCATCGACCCACATGGAATCCCCATCCCATCGGACATTCAAATGGCCGGGAATGGGCGGCCCACGGGCCATGGTGCTTTGTCATCGAACGCCGCGGGAGGTCGATGGATTGTCCATTGGACGCCCACGGGACGCCCTTGAGCAGTCCTTAAGGCCCCCATGACCTCCCGGTGGGCCGTCGGTGGCAGCCACGGGCAGCGATGCGTGACCCATGGAAGGAAGCCCTTTGAACCATTCATAGACCAGCCGCGGCAGGGCGTGAATGCCCGGGGGGGATCTTGCCACCCCCGGGCCCTAAAGATCGCACGACGTCTGTTGAGCGACCAATGGTCCGTATTTGATCTTGGGCGACCCGTGCGACATCCCGTGGGTAGTCCGAACAAGGTGAACCGGAACGTGTCACGATCTGAGTACTTCTTTGTGCCATCGAGAGCAACCACGTGGTATACACGCTGTGTTCCGCCGGAAACCTATGTGTGACAATAGATCTTACTTGAGCCTCTCGGACAGGTCCGACGGTGCTTCGTCCCAATCGCGGTCGTCTGCTGGGACCTCCATCGCTCTGTACTCGGCCTGACCAAAATCGGACAGTTGCCCCGAAGTTGATTGGTGGCACACAACAGATTAATGCCAACTAAACATAACCAGCCGTTAGTTTTCTTGATGAATCACGGGCCTGGGTATGAAAAACTATGTACCAAGCAGTGGCAACCTTCTCTAAGCAAAAGCCCGTCATAGCACGCCATCGGTTGACACTTGTCTGAACCAAACGCGTTCCTGTTGTTGGTAGCATCAGTAAGAAGGGAATAGATTATCGTACTGTAGTATCAAGCTACAAAGAGAAGCCTCTGGATGTGCAACCGGGCACGCCAATATACCATGGGGGCCTTCCCCGAACCCTCTGTTGCTGCACAGGCAAGTATGTCTCAGACAAATGGGCGCACCGTGTCTTGCTGTTTGAACATTTCATGTTCTGGGTGTGTTGTAACATGGCCTGTCTTATCGGTCATGGGTTCGTTCGGCCTCTTCTCTTAGTCGTTACAAACCAAATCCAGGAAGTATATCGTTACGATGTGGGTCACTGCATGCACTACAATCATGAAATATATATTCCGGTAGCGTTGTGATCTGGCGTATACACCCGATGATAAAGTCAATCTTGCATGAGGGACTGAGAATTGGGCTGGAGTCACCTTGCTGTTTGTATAGGTTCGCTGCAATGATTGCAACATCTCATACCCCAACACCAACGTACGTACCACGTTTCCAGGCCTTTCGTGTCGATCTGCTGCGACACAGTTTCTCTCCTTCGCCCACTTCCCGAAATCTTCCCCGTCCATACCATCCCATGGCCTCCTCCATCCTTCCTAGAATCCCCATCATGCGTCATGGTAAACAGAAAGCAAGGGAAGGTGGGACGTGATCTCAGGGAGATGAATGTAGCGACCTACCCAGGGGAATCTAGCGGAAGGCATGCCAGTTGAGGAGCATCCGGTTGATCATTCCCCAGGTCTTTTGGTCTATCTTGGAGGCGGTTCCTGAAGCTCACTTCTAACCTACTGGCAACCAACGTTTCGCACCGGCTCGTCTTCCGACAGAGGAAGAACTCGTAGGAAGCAAGTAGTGAAGTGCTGATGCGCGAGCCAAGTCAGTACTCAGCGTGTGCACCAGTCTGGCTCGTAAACAGACCACACAGCCTTGCAATGCCTCGTCATGTTCCTTATACGACCTTGCTTTACGACCTTGTTTGAAAGGTTCAGGTACCAACATCTCGTTCATCGCAGAATCTGTCTAAAAAGTTTCGACTGTGCATGGAAGACAACGACGAGCGGTACGAATATTTGAATGCGATGAAAATTATATGAAACACAAAGTTACGCCTTTCCAGGCCCTGAGGTCGTCAGTAGTATCACTCGCGTGTAATGCCCGCGCCCTGTTCATCTTGAAATATATCGCATCAGGTGCAAATATCCGACACCTTCAGCCTTGATTTGGATTGTCCGTCCCGTTACAGCAAAATCGCGATCATGCCACAGCTTTCTTGCAGTCGGTTAACTCTCAGCGAAATATCACCGTCAAGTAAGTAAGGGAAAAATCACAGGAAACTAAATTCGCTCGAACCGCCTAACGTGGTCTCCAGGATACGAAGTACGTAGTGACCAGGTCTATTGCCCACCTTCAACGCCCTGGTCCTGTTCCTGTTAAAGATTTCAGTGTACTCGACGTAGCAGTACTTGTCCACAAGGCTGTCCTCAACCTGAGCCGCTATCTCTGGCACCCTCTCCTTCAGTTTGACCTTGAGGTGAGTCTTCTCGAGCTCCAGTGCTTCAATCTGGAAGGTCCGAGGAATGTTCGATAGTGTGGACATCAATTGTTTGTTGAACACTTCTAAATATATATTTCTTCCACCCGCAGTTGGTTGACATGCGGTAGTCGCCAAGTGAAAAGTTTTGCTGATGTTCTTGTCGTCGTCGTAGCCGTCGCCGTTGTTGCTGTCTAACATGTGATGTTGGCGCCTACATCGTGAAAACAACGCTATCCGAGGAAACCCTGCCACTCGGAAAAAATAGATAGATGTTGACAACAACCAGATGAGAAAAAAAGCAGAAAAAGGCGGAAAATCCTAAAAATTGTAGGACGTCAAGCCCATTGCCCAACCAACCAAATGGAAGCCGAATCTCGAGCAAAAGCGTGCAGCATGATACATGGATGGATGAACATCATCATGGCGTTTTCATTGGTATGTTTGCTAGCCCCTACTAACCAGTACACAGCCAACCATACGAATCTCACGCAAAGTCTGGCGGTGATAGTCACGAACTTGGCAGGGCAATGGGTTTGTTCCATGTATGAACTTGACTGGAGCTCTTCCGTTCGCTCTGGGAGTTGAAAGTTTTGACGGGTTGGCGTATTGAATTGGCAAATTGAATGTGTTGACTGACTGACTTCATCGCAATTTACCCAGACCCAAGGGTGTGCGAAAAAACCCTTGCACACCTAGGTGCCCCATTTTGCCTGAGGAGGGCGGGTGGGGTGCATATTTCTTTTTGCTCGTTTGCTTGGAAGTACTGCACCATCGTTTTTTTTAATTACTACCTCTTCTAACACCCTTGCCAAACTTAGCGGATTTCTCTCTTTGCTGATGGGCATGTCCGTTGATCGGTAGACTAGTTTTCTCTGATCCACACGATGTTCTTGAACCCATTGGTTGATCGATGTGGGAGCAAAGTGACTCACTTCATCTCGTTTGTCGTTGACTTCCTTCTCCGCGTTCTCCACAAGAGCGGTAGCCTCCTCGGTGTTGGCCAGAGAATGAAAGTGAAACGGCTCTCCGTTCTCGAACTGCATCTTTCGCTGCTGCGCGAAGACCAGCAGCTCCTGCTTCAGCGTTGCCAGCCCCTGTATCAGGCGCGAGGAAATTTTGAACGATAATAAAATTTGTGGCCGTCTCGGGCGTTGTGTTTACCCCTTACCCTGGGAGGAAGCATAGATCAGCCTAGATTTGTACACGTGTTTGTCATTGGCGGAGGCCCAGATGTGAGCGGTTTGACTTCACACCAGATACTGCATGCCCCGACCATATGATGAAGCTACAGAACAACGGCAACGTCTAGGGTGGAAAGATGAAACAATCTAAGAGGGTGGGGATTGTTGGACGAAAGCTGCGGTGGTTGTCAATGTAGTGGACATTTTTACAGTGTTGCTGCTACTCTTTCCTTTTTTCGTGTGCGGTTGGTGGCCTTCGAGACACCCGTTGAACCACGTGGAAAACACATGGGCGAGGCGCTCACCTGCAATTGGGCAATGGATGCGTTGATGATGCCAACCCTGAACGATTGGACCGCTTTTCGCTTTTTGACCTCGTCCGTGACTCTAGTCATGCCCTGTTTGGTCTTGATCCACTTTCGCACCTTCGTTCGCATCAGGATGGTTCGTATCCACACACGTGGTTCACACCATGCATTGTCATATGTGATGCGATGATCACACGCTGTGCTCGCGGGGAATCGACGGATCTATCGTGTTGATAAAAGCCGAATAGATTCATGTGGTGACTCTTTGTGTGTGTAATCTACACTGCACTATTTTCACGCTCCACGGACGTGGGGTAGGTGCCCTCTGATCGATTCAATTTATATCCTAACCTTAGCCCCGCACGTCGGTTCCTGCCTTGCACCTCACGACACGAAGAAAACAGCACCTTCTGTAAACTAACGAAATTAACTGCTATCCTTGCCTTACGCACACGACCGATTATGATACCTGAGTGTCGGTCTTCTTGAAAGCCTCGAAGACTTCCTTTTCCTCTTCCTTCCGTCGCAATGCTTCCTGAGCCGTGTAAATGATCTTTACCACCACCAGCCCGGGGACAATGCACTCTCCCTTGGGATGCCGTATTTCCTCGCCGGTGTCCGGGTCTATGCACTCACAGAACTCGAAGGTGAGGTCCTCGAACGTAGCGATCTTTTTCATTGATCGCAGGAAGGACGGCGGAGGAAGTGCCAACGTGATCTGCGGATACTCGTACGAAGCTAAAGTAGACCACGACGGTCTGGCAACGCAGCAAGTAACTGTTCTTCTACCCCGTCGTGGCCGGAGATCGGAAACGGGAACGATCATAACGTGGTTCTGGTATCAAGTCCAACAGTGCTCGTACGGGGTGCCTCGGTTGGGTTGGTCTCGCACGATGAACCTGCAAGGCTCGAAGAGTAGAATCACTCATAGACTACTGAGGCACGAAATGTATCGAATATGGCAAGCTAAATATGAAGGGAGATATATATGAAGAGCACGCACGGTCTAACGCAGTCTCACCGGTCCATAAGCGCTCCGGAGAGTGAGGAGGGCCTTGCGGAGCGCCTTGTGTGAATACTCGAACACAGTTCTCGGCAGACTTTTGAGGGCTTCCGTCCAGAACGCCGGCCGGAACTCCTCGACAAAGGCGTTCTTGGGGGTGTCTTCGAACAGGGCACTCAGAGCAATCGTCAGGCACCCCACCTTTCAGGGAAATGTTCCATTCAGGCGCACGATGAGGCGTCGAGGGTGGCTGATCCAAAACTCATGTGGTCCCTTGTATCGTGCCCAAACAGAGGAGAAGATCAAGTGAGCGGGTAGCATCTGTACCTTTACGACACCAGGTTAATCAGTCGCGAGACGCGACACACCTTGACCAGTACTACCCCGACATCCCCCTACCAAAGGTACCAAATAGGATCCTCAGGAAAAGTGAAATATCGTGTGCCGCAGATCTTGTTGGTTCAAAGGTAAACAAATGAATTGAATACGACTTCGTTTGTGCAGCTCAGCTCGATTCGTATGCATACCATGCGTAATTCACCTGAATAAAGTTCCACAAACCTACCTATTGGAGGTAAAAAGCCGATGAGAACAAGAGGATACAGTTGTCTTCAAAATTTCAAAACTGAACGATCTACCAGCTTGCTCCCAAGACGCTAAAACTAAAGAGGGCAGACCAAAAGCACGCTTGATCATACGGCAGGGAGCAGAATTGACACATTGCTGACGACAACATTTTCATCCCCGTTTTACGATAACGAATGCTTCAGTAACATCCACATCCCATGACCATCGCACCAGCGTACACTAGTCTATTCCAACCTAAGCCCCGAACTCTTGAAATGTCACAAGCGTTTGAGGGATAAAATGTGCACACGGTGCGAGAACGCGTTTTGATGTTTTTGGCCGAATGTTCCTCACCGGACCACCCCTCCTGCCCCACGGCCGCGTTGTGTGTCTGCAGAACACGTTCTCGCTGAAAACATCCCGGGTCTCCTGAAAAAATATCTGGGCCATCAAATGAGCTACCATCCGTTCGTAGAACTCCTTTTTTCTGGTAGCCTGATGGTAGAAGCGCGAAGAGAGGGTCGAATAATCCCATATTTGCAAGCATAAAGGATGGTTCCAGTGGCCTGGAGATTTTCTTTTTCTAGTATCAATACAATTACACGCTCGGCTGCGCGTGTGCCCTTCCGAGGAACGTCAATAATGGTATTGTGCCATGAATTAAGAATATTGTTTGCTTTTCCGTGCGCATAGTTGCACGAAAACATTTCCTCTTTCTTACCCTCAAGTCCTGAACGACGTCGAGTATTGTTTCGGCTGTGAGGGGATGTCGGTAGAAATCCCCGTTGATGAAACGGTTGATGGCCTGCGGGGACAAACCGTGACGCAAACAAGCGTAGTGGAGGTGCAGCTATGAAACGAATGTCATTCGACAACGATAGAAACACATACAAGACGCACGGTAGGAACGTGCTCGATGAAAATCTCTTTAACATTTCCGTGTGAGGGTGGTTGTTGTTGAACGTGTATGGCCATATGGTTCGTTATCACAATTTATAGTTCGGGAAATATATGGTACTCTCTGGATCGACGTTGTTCGCGAAAATATACCACACACGTTTTTACCTAGGTAAAGTGCACGAAACAGCAGTGTAGGGCAACACCGGTAGACAGGCATCGGACGTCTCTATCGTAGTTTCACACGTTCCTGGTGCCGAGATGAAACGACTTTCTCAACACGGAGCATCTCACCGAGACCATCGCCAACCTCAACAGTCTCCCAACAGACTATTACCTTGTCAAATTCGTCGAGGTCGGGCGGAGTCAGGTACCCAGTATTGGACATCAGAACCCCGCAACACTGCGGCACAAGCGCTTCCAAACAAGTGTCGAAACCCCTGGTATGATGATGATGATGACGAATGCCAAGAAGAACCACAACGCGGTGCAGACGTTGTACATTTTAGCCCGATGAAACTAAAATGAGAAGGAGTTGTAGTTGACGAGACAAGGCATTTCTGAGATAGGATACTTCCGCTGTTGTTGTCTTGCTGTCCCACACCCTACACGTATACTTTTCCCGAGTCATGGTGGTTGGCGAAAGCTATAATGACGTTTTACCACGCTCTGCCTTACCATGGCGCATCGGTATCCTCTTGGGCTACGGAGTCGGTAGTAGGCTTGACAAATCGTGCCCACCCCCCGCTTCGAGCATGCCCGTATTCTAGTGAGCTCTCCACCAATTGTGGCCTGTGGACTAATCTGTTTAACCTCACTCTCTAGACTATATATCTAACCCGAGCTTCAGTTATGTTCAATAGTCAACTGCGGTTGCCCTGTGCCTATATCCCGGGTGCATGCGCTAGAATCACCTACAACGTCGCAATCTTCGAACGATTAGCGGATGACGAAACGCATATGTTGCTCAACGATGCGAGTGCTGCGTACTGGATTGGACGACATGGGTACCCAAAGTATGTAGCTTAGCATCATTTTTAGGCGGTTTGCTCTCTATTGAGCCTACGTGGCTTCGGGTGGGCTTGGCGCTCGCAAGAAGCAACTTATTGAGGAAACGACTTTCTTCAGAACCAGTGGCCAGAAAATAGTCTCAACATGCAGCGGTAGTTGTAAAGTTTGATAGTGTTCCATGTAGGTTGAGTTCAACACTACAGTAGATATGCGCTTACCGGAAAGCGTGCGCAGGAATTCGAAAAAAAGCAACGACGGAAACGACAACATTGGTCGATATTTGAAACCAAATCAGCAGTATATCAGCAGAATGGAGCACAAAGCAAGGTGAGGATACGCCAAAAGTGGCTGCACCTGTCGAGGATGAGCTTGTGCAAGAGGTCGATTCGATGTATCCGCACCCTGACGTACTTCATGACGGTAGTGATTCCTTCGGCGAGAAGCTCGGGAGGGGGAGACTTGTAGGGGTTCGAATCCATCTGCACCTCCTGCACCTTCGACAACTGCCATATCGACAACGAAAATGGTCGTTGGGAACAGGTAAGTTGCGGCTTCTGAAACTATCGCGGGTGTGAGCATACCTGTGTTATTGCCCATCCTTATATGTAGTACATCCGTACAACTATCATTTCGCGATTCACATCTCAAGCGCCACACTGGGCATCATCGGCACTCACACAGATACTTCGCTATCATCGGCATTCCATTTGTTTCCGGCTATCGACGTGACTATTTGCCACGCGAGACAAATACATACGATCGGCGATGCATTTTCCCGGTTGCTTGTCCTTGCCCTTACCTCAACGAAAGAATCGGGGAGCTGGAGAAGGTTGTTGTTCGACAGCCATAACCGTCTTAATGTGCCGTTCAGCTTAGGTCGGAAAACCTCATGTCTCAACGTCTCGAGGCGGTTGTAGGATAGCTTCAGGCTCCGAAGCCGGAGGGCGCCGAATCCCGGCGGAAGGTGCGTGAGCATGTTGCCGTTAACGTCAAGCGTCTGCAATCGGGTGGCACATTGCCCAAAACGAGCATCACCGAGAAACCAGGTGCATCAGCATCTAATGTTTTCAACAATCAATCCTTGCAGTGGATTCATTCGATCCGTCAATTCAGCCAACCAAGAAGGGGAATGAGGAGCGGATCGTGATATGCCATGCCGACAGCGTTGCTCGACCCGACGGTTGGTCGGATTATTCCTGCAGTTAACGCCTGAAGAGGCGTCTAAAATCAATTCCAATCAGGCTTCGTTTAGTTCGAAACAACCAACAACAGCACCACCATCGACGGACGCTCCGGGATTGGGTAGGTGGGCGATTGTAAAGAGGGACTCGGCGCTTCACCCGTGCAGATTTGGTGGCCATATTCACGCTCAAAGTTGTCCCAAATGTTTCGGTTTGGGCCAAATTTTTGCCAATGGTCAGTGTGAATATCATACCTACAATAATATTCTGGTCGAAATGAAACCATTAAATTTATTCACTCCCACCTTGAGCTTGGCAAGCCCCACAATTTCGTCAGGTAGTTGATAGACGTGGTTGGACGACAGGGTGAGCACCTCCAGCTGGGTGAGCTGAGACAGCGATGGTGGGAGGACTTCCAGACGGTTGCCTGAAAAAGACGGAACAAGCAGCCCAAAACAATGGTGTCAGTGTATGGCTTGAATCTGTTCCAAATAGACCTCAGATGCTAACCCAACCCTATTGCCTGAGAACCATAAGGCGGCAGCAAAAATCAGGCAACGTAAGTTGCGCAGAGCAAAATTTCCTTTTCATTCTTCGTTGCTGCGAGGTTTGCGCATGATTTCGTGTTGTTCTCGGTTTGATCAACGTTTTCGCAACAGATGTCATAATTCTCGAAATTTCTCGAACTCTCTCCCACGGCATCTTCAGTTAGCAACTGCCTCGATATTCTTGCAGCGATTTTTCTCGACTGTACTAGAGGTCCCGAGCTCACCGTCTAGCTCCAATCGCTTCAAGAGGGAGAGGCTGCCTATCGCCTCGGGGCAGTCCTGCAAGCGGTTCTTCTTTGCGTCCAAGATCTGGCCCGATTTGTGCATGGCGGAGACATGAATCAAATTGTCGCTGAGTTGACCCTACCGATACAAGAGTGTCATCTTGTGGCATTGCACATTGCTTCGGAATTCTGTATGGTGTTTTCGATTCATGGCCCCACGAAATGTCTGCACTGGCACGAAGGAAAACAGAAATGGCCAGAAGGCAAATGACGAAACCAGAGAAGCGAAGGTTGACTTGAAACGCCTGCCGTTGTACCCACCTCTAGCATTCGGAGTCTGGTGAAAGTTTCGGGAAGATTCAAGATGAGGTTGGTCTCGAGATACAGCTCCTTCAGGCACCTCAGCTCCGCAACATCATCGTCCAACCGGCGCAGCTTGCAGCTTTTCAGAGACAGAACAGTCAGGTTACAAAGAGAAACCTGGCGGGGGGTGTCAGGTTGGTCGGCAAGGGGTTGGGGTGCGCGATTGATTCGGAGGGCAACGTACAATGGAATCTACAACACACGATACGCCTCCTGCTCTTCTAATACCGTCCGTTTGCCGGAGTGTTGTTGCAACATACTCTGACAACACGAAAATGGGCCAGCAAGCGCTGGGTTTCGATTCAGGAACACACGTAACAGGGATTGGGTTCCAATAACAAATGTAACGGTGAATCAAGCAGAATCAATTCGAGAAACGTTCCTAAACCACCCAAAAGAGCAACCAATCAGAGGTGGTTGGATTCCTACCAGGAGAAACGCCGTATCAGGCACGCACGACATTTCACACCCATTGCATCCTCCCCTACCTTATGCAATATTACCACCAACACAATGTGGCAGCGACGTACATGATCGAACCAGGTAGTTTTTTTCACATGTCATTCTTTGAGGATCTTGGCAGAGCGTTCCTGTGATATTTTTCTCCTCCGCCTGGCCCCTCTTCATTCTTGGGATCAAGAGTACCCTACGCTCACCGAATGCGTGACCTGGTCCAAGTCTTGCCAAGTGTGGCGAAACACTATTGTTGCCTTGCTGAAGTCGTTGCTGTCTAGCCGTAGGCTCTTGAGCTTTCTCCCAATCTGAGGATGAACGAGTCCAACAATGTCCTCTTGCTATTGCTGTCGTTGTTGTTGCTGCTGCTGCTCTGGTATTGGTGTTGGTAGTGCTGTCGTGTTGTGGCCAGTGTTGATATGCAGAAGCCGTGGTCAACTCTGCGTTTTCCGTCACAATCCCAAGCCAACACTCAAGGCCCCAAGACAAAGAAGCCACGGATCGCGATCATACACCATCATGCGCCGTAGATCTCATCCATTCGATAACTTGTATCATGCTCTCTGTTAACAATGTCTGGGTCTCGTATCAACACACATGACCCATCCGATTGCCTTGCCTCTTCTTGGAATACCCCCATCGGAAAGTACGTGAGCCCCTCCATCATAAAGTTCAGCTCCCCGCTACGTCCGGCCATTTTAATGCGTTTCGCAAGCTTGCGGTCAAACTCCGGCTGGAGCTCCAGCTTCTCCTCCTAGAATGCCCAGTTGGTTGGAACGGGTTAGCACCAGCTGTACAAAGGTTCATGTGACTATCCGATTGTTTACCACTCGTATTGTTTCCATGCTCAATAACACGTGTGCGTGTTTATTTTTCGTTGGCTACGTTTTTCTCTCCTTCTATGAGGACTTTCATCCGATTCCAAAGAGGTATCATACGTTAGTGAGAATGGTGAGAAAGGCATTCCCATCCACACTGATGGGCTGTCGAGTTGAGGATGGTTCAAGTTATGGACTCAAACGCTCTACTAAAATGCTCTATGTTTTCGAAATAAGGTACTTCGTAAATCAACAGAAAAATAAACCGAAATCTCGGGGCAAATACTGCTGTCATCCAGGGCAAATTTTTCAAAGACTCGAACGTTATTTCCTTCTATCCGCAGTCTATACACCCTGATGACACACAGGACTTGTCTAGACCGCATCGGCGATGAAGCTGTAACATCCACGGTCTGGTACCGTCCTCTATCTCAAACCAAGCACACCTCTTGGTCGTTACGACCCTCAACCCAAAACATGAAACGGTACTGGGTTGAAACGCGCACGAAGAACCCCATCATATATTCCCTCCACTTGCCTCTATCCCGAAACCGTGCACCCGGACGACAGGCGGAGGCCCTCGAACTTGCATCCAATGTCTTTTCCGGCATTCCCACAGCATAGCCCCCATGCCCAACAGCAGTAGCTCCGCCGGAGGGTCGGCCAAAGGGTTGTTGTACAGCTACAATTCCCGTTTGAGCCGCGGCGCAGACCGGTTGGGCAAGGGTTAAGGGTGAGGGCCGGGTTGGATGTTGATGTGTAGGTTAGGTTAGTTTGAAAGACGGGCCGGAGGAGGGGTGAAGAAATTCTCGCTCTCGGCACGGAACAATGTCGAGCTTCTGCCTATGCTTCGGATAGAACGCACATTAGGGACCGGGTGACGGCACTCAATGGCTAAGGTTCGCCGTGGGAAACGACTGTTGGCGAGGATAAGCGGATACGAGCATCGGGAAAGTGACGCGGCCAATGTGACAAAGTGTTCAGGTCGTAGTAGAAACGAAAACTCGGCTTTCACAAATAAGTTATGCCGAAAAAATGTTTTAAGATTGGAACATTAGAATATTTGTTATTGTTCACCTGCAGTGTCTTGAGACTGGTCAGAAACCCAACGCTGTAGGGCAGCTTCTTGAGCTGGTTGTTGCCGAGAAGAAGCTGCGGCCAAGTGTTGGCATTCAATCATGGGTAGGTCGAGGGCGTAACCATACACAGGCAGGAGGGTATCGAATTCTTCGTTCGTGTTCTGTATTGACGGTTGCAAGTGAGGAAACGTTTGCTCTGTTGTATGACATGACCTTGAGAGTACCTTCTTCAAGCCCGCCATTTTCATGGCGAAGTCTGGGAAGGTAGCGAAGAAGTTGCTGGTGAGGCACAGCTCTTCCAACCGGTCCAACTGCACCATCGAGCTAGGAAGCTCAGTTAAGCAGTTAACGTCCAACCTGAAGCAGAATGGCGGTGTTTTACGTTTTTGCATCAGAGGACGAAAGGGACGAAAGGGGCAGATGTTTGTTCAGAGACGGACGGGGTGGGGAGCTCATTGGGCAAGGGATATAAAAACATCTACTGTGGTTTTGGACAGCATTTCAAGTCCATTGTACTCCGGCGTTGAGAAACAAACATCTGCAGAAAGGCTAAAGGGGTGAGACTGACGCAATTGAAGAGTGTCGTATGCATATCCCTCAATGAAACGCCGCCACGGACAGCATCTGGCATGGCCTGTACTAACTCGAAGCACCATGGGGGGGGGGGTGGGGGTGTACTCATAGTCGTGCATGCCGTAGTCGTTAGACCATTGACCTTGCATCCCTACAAAGCCGGGACGGAGCACGCCGGGTTCTCACCGGACCAGGCTCTCACATCACCAAGCGCGAAGCGCCGTGAGGTATTCGGCGAGTCGCATGAAGGGTGAGCTGCATCCTGCTAAGGGTGTTCGGCATCTTGTGCTTACTTCCTTGCGTACGGATGACAGCTGCGTATGACTTAATTTATTTTCTGGTGCTTTCACTTCCAGAGACAGTTGTAAGCACTGTGTAACTGCCTCGAGGACGCTTGACCAAATTAACACAACGTGGTGCGATCATCCCCCTTGCGCGGAGTGAGGGTTCTCGACCCCGCACAACATGATCTACTCGACCACCATTATGGTTGCCGCCAAAAAAAACCGAAGGTAAAAAAAAAACGGTAACCTGGTTGCCGAGTTCGCGAGGTGAATTGGCTTGTTTTACAACGTCTTTGCCAAGCGACGAAAACCCAATCCCGATGGCAAACACCAGGGGGGCGGGGGGGGGGGATGGGGATGCCCTTGGCAAGGGGTCTAGGTGCCAGACCCTTTACTTTGTTGCCAAACAGGCGGGAATGCGATGGGTGGTCGCATTTTCAAAACCTTGATTCATATGCATCCGCCCTTAACGTGTGTCTATGGGAAGGGACTGGCCGTAATGTATCTTCATCAGTCACTTTCGTGGCTCAGCCCGCAGACAATGCTGTGTGTCGCATCGTTCTGGTTGTAAACGGAACGACCACGCACGGTGAATTAGGTGTGAAGAAGGGACACTAATTGACTTGTGAAATAGGGTAGCCTGCGAAACGCTTCAGTACTGGCACCCAGTCCAAAGAGCAGTTCTTACACGGGCGCTTCCTGTATACTCATCAGAATAAGGTCTCCAAACCCTTCCTAACGCATCTGGGTATTGTTCAGTTGCGGTGTACGTCATACGTAATGTTCTGATGGTTCGGAAAGAACCAAAGCATGCATTCGATCCTGCAACAATTCAGACGTGCGAGACCATGAATTTTTCCTATTAGTCTTGCCTCAAGTGCCTGAGTTGCTTCATTTCCCCCAGCCTCGCCGGGAGTTTCTCCAAGTAGTTGTCGTTTGCTTCCAGCACCTCAAGGTTGTGACACCAGCAAATGCTATTGCAAACGGCGGGGAAAAGAAAACTGATTTGTTCGGTGGATACGCCGAAATTAAGGAAGCACCACGCATGCATGAGGGAAGGAGGGATGGGGCTTGGCGGCCTTGGCAGGCGATGGGTAAACTAGGTGGCCAACTTCGAACACCAGCTATACCTGATCATGACCACCAATGAACAAGCGTGCGTCACCTTGCCCTCAGGAAAATTATCTCAGCTTTGGGAGGTTGACTAGACGTGGACATCCTTGAGATATCTGCTTCAAGGCATCTTGAGGACGGTTACACACCTGCTTGGCAGAGACCGGAGCTTGTTCTGGCTGAGTTTGAGACTGACCAGCCTTGTCATGTCTCCAAGGCGGTTCATGCATGCAGGCATTGCTTGTACCTGAGAGTGATACAGAAACATTGGGGATGGCCGTAGGAAACATGATTGCATGATGTAGCGTGGTGTGGCTAGATAGCCCAGCCAACCACCGTGATTCAAAAGGGGGCTGGGTTTCTGAAACGTTATCTAGGTCGTGGTCGCGCGAAAATCTGCTCCTATCCCCTACCTTGCGAAACTGTTCAAGATGCTTCAACGAGTTACCACGTTCTTTGCTCACGCAATTTGTTGTTGTTCTCTCCCAATAGGAATCGGCAATCCTTGGTGGAAACTGGGATTGGCTACCCTCCAACTGCGGTTGTTTACTGTTTTCCCCGTTCATGAGATCTATCGCACGATGAGAAAGCCTGAGACAATATAGTCTTGGTTGATGTAGTACGTCATACGAAAAAGCCTTCGCCAGCCTACAGTTGTCAGACCAAATTACAGATACTTAGAATATCCATAGGTTCTACACGCAACCAACGAGACTAGATCGGCCATCGGGCTCTCTCACATGGCTGAAGTTGACGTTGTTGATGTAGTACACCTTACCGGTGCTTATGTTCAAGGCTGCTTCCCACTCGTAAATGCCTGCACATACCAGAACACATCAAGAAAGGAGTTCTGATGGAACGTTGTGATCGGATCGATTTTCATGCGGGCAGAATATTCAACAAGAACCCTCACATATATTGGACGAAAAATGTTGTTTAACACCTTCCAGTTCCTGTCATGTCTCTCTTGAAGAACCCCACGTTGCACGACTCCTGAACTTGGTCGAGAACGAAACGGGATGATTTAGAAACGGTAGACAAGATGAGCCACTTGTTTACTTTCCGAAAGACAGCAGAATATTTACATGCACAAACACTCTCAATATAGAAATAGGAGTTTTCCGGCGGGGCAGCAAAAATAACAACGGTTGGAACCGGATAAAATTCCACCATCACCATGCACCCCTCTTATCCCTACAATAACCACCTCGGAGTATACCAATATTTTGGGGACTCAGGTAGCTTGGCAATGCATGCCAACTCGCTGGGGTTGCGTAGTTCTTGAGAAGGGATTCGCAGACAAGAAGAACGGAAGACAGCCGTCGATGATATTGTTATTCGAAACCCGTTGTTTCTCGTTCCTCTCGCCTCTCGCTGCCAGCTCGTTCCTCCTCCGGTTGTACGGGAAGGTCCCGACGGTAAGGGTGGAGTTGACAGATGCCGCCGAGGCGTTACTGCTGCGGTTCACCGACGAGGAAGTAGGGTCCACGTCTGAAGTCTCCCCGGTAACATCATTTACCCACATCTGGACGATGGAGTTCGTAGCGTGGAAGCACCCCATAGCACCCCAACGACGTGTCGTTTAGGGAAATGGAGGTTAGGAAGTTTAAGTTTTCCAAATCGAGAAAAGGTGGGATTCAGTTCGCCGGTCGACATATTGATTGAATAGTGAACGAACAATAAATTGAATCATACGGAGAAATTGCATTGACATTGGTTATCAGACCTAGGCACCGCAGGGAAGGATAGAGGGGAGGAAGACGAACGAGAGGTTGTGACCAGCATCAGTAGCCTCTGAATACGTTTTCAAAGCGTCCAGCCAACCAAACGCCTTGTGATTGATTCTATGTGCGTGGCGAAGAAATGATCAGGTCGTCTCCAGACCGCGGTTGTTCAGCCAATGTTCAACCAATCCAACAAGCTAGCCCCCAATGAACTTTCAAAGAGGTCGGAGATGCAGTGTTCGTACAGGTTGATCAATCAAGGAGTTCGGCAATGAATACGGCAGCGCGAACAGGTGCGGTGAAGGAACATCACGTGAGATGGGATAGCATTCGCCTACCTACTGTACCTCTCTTTTCTTGTCCCTGTTCCACCGCTTGACCCAGCTGGCGCACTGGTCCTTCCCGTTCGACGTCTTGAGGAGAGGGGGCACAGCCAGATGAGGCATGTTGTTTCCATCCAGCTTGAGATGCTTTAGCGATGTCAGAAGACCCTACATGCCAATTTCAGCGTCGAAGAATGGGATAAATTAACTTCCGATGCAGAGAATCGGATTGTTCACCAATACCCTATGAAGCGAAATCAAGTGAAGAACAGTCGTGTACACTAAGGAATGTGTGCTCAAGTGAGACTGATATTTGCTATAGCAGATTGAATGCTTGAGACAGAGCGAGAACATAGTGGTCCAACATGTGGTGGCATGTCTAGCACGAGGGTTAAAGGCTTGACGGTAATACGAAGTTATAAAAAGGAACAAGCCTCAGCGAGAAGTACACCCACCGTGGCTTCAAACTGGAGTCATGGAAGCTAGCATTCAGTCGGAAAGTGTTCGTAGGAAAATACCGATTGCATGACGTGAGTACAGCTTATTCGTTCCCGTGTTGGGTTGTTCGGGTGATGTGAGCCAGATCGGTCTGGCTGATGCCTACTCGTCGTGTCATCCTTTGCTCTCCCAGCCAGACTCGAGGCAACTCCAAGTGCGGTCGATAGTCTCCAACCGAACGAAGCCTATAAGAAACCGATTCGGCAACTGAAGAAAGGGCTCGTAGTTGTGCAAGGTTAGGCCGCGTTAAACAGCGTTGCTGCGTTGCTGTTATGAATGTAGTATGGTTACATCATTCAACTCGCTCCCAGCCCATGCAGACAATTGCCGGAATTGTGAAGATGAATCAACGCAAGAGTGCCATTCAGTTCTCAACTACATGAAGACGTTCTACTCGTTGTGCAGGTGTACCATGGTGGGTGGTAGCGTCTTGAGCATGTTCTCGCCCAAATCCAGCTTTTCAAGGCGGTGGAGGTCGCCGAAGCGGTTGGGCAGGTTGGAGAAGTTGTTATGTCGCAGGCTCAGGTACGTGAGGGACGTGAGGTTCAGCAGCCCGTCTGGTAACCCGCTAAGCTTGTTGTTGTCTAGGCGAAGCGTTCTGCAGGAAACGAAGCGTTCAAACGGGCATAGCACGGCCAGGTTGCGGAACATTGAGGGGCGCCATAGACGGAGGATTTCTTAAACGTGGGCATGTCGTCGACCTACGGCAGACAGGTTCAAGGAGGGGTATCCAAAGACGGCCCTGCGGTCACAGGAAGCTGTAAGCGCCGCGCACGGGGGGAGAGTTGGGGTAGGGATCAGATGGGCTAGTTGGTGAGCACATCAGAGGTGATCAGTAAACTTGACAAGTCCTCTAATTGATCTTATGGAATGAATCAGTCCCTTGACCAACGAGGAGCGAGATAAAGGCTTTACAGGTCGGAACACGTCCATCAACCTAGCTACCCTTCCATTTACCGGTAGGTGTCACGATGTATTTTGCCCCGGATAGCACCCACCCAAATAGCAAGCAACACAACCATCTAGTAAGCAAGCCTTACTCACATCAAGAGACAAAAACAGCTGAAGCACCTTGCAAGCAATTGAATCCATCTACACTTACTGCTGCGTTGTGGTGTCCATGTATCTCGTAAGTTAATTAGTCCATCGATGAGTTCAGTGACGTTTGTGCTCCGCCACTGCACTAAGTAAGAGATACCGCGGCACATGTTTCCTTGAGCGTTGATGTGCAACCCAGACGCGGATTAGTGCGGCGCAGTCTCACTTGAGGCTGGTGAGCCTTTGTGCTTCCTCGGGGAGCTCTCTCAGCTTGTTCCCGCTGAGATTGATCTCCCCGACCGAACGCATGTGTGCGCAGGAGAAGTTGGGGTTCCGCAGGGAGATTAAGAGCTCAAGGCTGTTGCGAGGCATGTTGATCTGATCGACACAAAAGGGCGGAGAGCGGGATAAGAGTTACACGCGATCCATTTACGCGATCGCAACAATATAGGTTCGGTGGGTCTGTGGCAAACTGTCGCCGTTTCGACCATCACTAGATTTTTCATGGTTGATAGGTTGTTGGTCGGCAGCAGACACTCCACCATCGCCCAGTGTGCACCCAGAGGGGCGGTTTGGCCAACTGGATACATATTCGCGGAAAAGGGAAAAAGAAGTACCTCAGCTCGATACGAACCTTACTCAGAGTTCCCAACTGCATCGTAAGCGTGTTGAACAAGTTGGTGGGCATGCACTTCCACCCCTGCTGTTGCGCGTCCAGCCCGCCACCTGTATACAGCTTTCTTAGCACAAAGGCTATATCGTTCGAGTCACCCGCGCAGTCTCCTCCCTTGGGTTTTCTCCTTGCCCCGTCTCTGTCCTTGGCATCTACTCCCACCCCTGCTTCCTCTTGATGGTTTCCCAACGGCTGCCCTGCGGAATCCACCGTTTGCTGTGTATGCCTCGTTCCAAGATCCGTGGTTATAAGTCTGTTGGTGGGTTTTCTATCGCCTGGAGTATCACCCTGCGGCTGCTTGGCGGAAGGGCTGTTGCTCGTCGGGACGGAATCGGCTGGGACCTGTTGCGAAGAGGAAGGAACGGCCTGGGTTTGTTCTTGTGCCGTCGTTGCCAACGTGCAATGTCTATGATCGGGGGTATCCCCTATAGGAACTGTCCTGCCTCTGCTTGAACTCTTCCGGAGCTGGTAAGCAGATGTTTTTTCCTTCTTCCTTTGCTGCTGCTGCCGTTCCTGGAAAGCTTCTTCTTCGTTGCACTCCAGCATTTGTCTTGCCTGCGATCAAGAGCAGCCGGTGGTCGATGACCCAATTCAATATGTCCACCGCTGCAGCGTTTCTAGTCTGGTACATTGTAGACAATAGTGCAGATATCTGGTTGCCGCACCTTTAATAGTCTTCCGAGCAAAGTAGTATTCGCTCTGTTTCTCCTTGTTGTTCTTGTTGAATTTGCGCTATACTTTGCTTGCTTGAACCCTCTTTATGGCGATGTGGCTAGGTCGAACGCGCAGAATTGACACGCGATCCACACATTTTACCTGTCGCTCTCGTCCGCGCCTATGCATCCGCTCGATCTTATTGGTGAGCGTAGCCGTGCCAAGCGTGTGCGCGTTCTGGGCTCTCTCGTTCACATCCCGAAATGACATTTCCTTCGCGAGCTGCTGCTCGCCTTCGCGGGCGAACTGTTGATGTGCTTCCCTACGGCGATGCACCAACACATGCGTATCGAATATATCGACCGTGAAAACCTTCGGAACTGTTACTTCATTGTCGCTGCGGCTGTTGCTGCTGTTGCCACCGTCCTGTTAAATCCCCTTTTGGGCATCAATCAACTCTTCGAGAAGACTGTCGGGGGCAATGCATGTACTGCGGCGGTGATGGCGCGGGAGAACCGGAATTCAGAAATGTTTCTTTTGACGTAGCGCACGTCGTATTTCTACGTACTATGTTGAAGTGTGTAGCAATCGATGGTGTTTATGTGATTGACCATCCTTCATACCTGTGAGGAAAAGCGACTGCCAACAATCGCTATATGCATAAGTAGTTCCCGAACGTCCTTCCGGCAAGTCAAAATTGTAGGTTCTACAGTAGTATTGAGTTTCACACACTATCGGAGCATAGTCAATACTTCAACCTCTAGAGCGAGGGCCGGAGGTAAACGAGCAAGGTTAGGCATTCGCCACGAACCTGTCACACCCGGAGACAGAGAAAGAGAGGCCCATACACCATTCAGTCACCTTGTCGCCCTAGCGATTTTCTTCCTGGCCTCGACATAAGTCATTCCTGATTCCACAAGCTTGGCGGTGCTCAGATTCACCGGCCCCGGGTGCGAGGCCATCATGTGAGTTTTACCGAAGTTTACCCTTGAGCGCATGCTGAACCCCTGGAAAGTTGTACAACAAGGTGCATGCATGCAGTACAAAGCAAAATACACCAACAGCCCAACTTAATTGGATGGCAGCTCTCAATGGCATAACAACCTGTTGACAGGGTCATGCACATCGCACGAGAACATCGCAGTCATTTGGGTGTCAAGATGTGGCAAGATATTGGAAGGATCTCGATATCGCAGCCATGCACTTATTGTGCACTGGGCGAATGACGTATCTACCGTGCACATCCACTATTCAACATGATGTCCGTGAGGTAGTCCTTGGGCTCCTGATACGGCTGTACCTGCGGTGTTGGTATGTTCGGTACGGTTGGGCCTGTAGACAACAACATGACACAGGGGCTTGCACCTGCTCTGTACAGTAGTCCCTGGTCTCCAGCATTAGGCGGGTCATCCAAGGAACCTAATCATCCCAACAACAAATGTGTGGTACACGGCATCGTATACATGCTCACCTGTGTCTGCTTGAAGTGCAGCCGAAGCCGCGTGTCTAGTGGCTGTATTCTAATCCTTGCCGACCCTTCAACCTCGCCGTCCCCAGCCTCCTCTGCCATTTTCGCCACCATCGGGCCGTCTTCGTCGTTGGCGGCATCGACGGAGCCAGCAACACTTTGCCGGAGCATCACCACTGGAGTGCCCGCGCGCACTGCGCTACGCCTGGCTTGGTTGTTTGCTGTGACAGCCAGCTCTGTCGACATAAAAAACTCACAGTCCCGTGGACGCAACAACCGGCCGCGACGCGGCGAAAATTGCGTCGAAAATTGGCTCGAAACTTGAATATTTGGAGAAAAAAACGTTTCACATGGGTTTCCATCAGGAGAGGCGACCTAGAGAGAGAGCAGCTGCTTGCCCTCGCTGCCCTCTGCCAAGCGGGCTGCAATTCAAGAGCAAGGCGCGTGCTCTTGGGCACAATACGTCCTAGATTTGAACGACAATGATGCTCACGCAGGCAGTGGTGCTGGTGCTCGGGTGTAGTATATCCCATGCGTTCGTCCTGCCTCTGGTCGGCAGCCGGAATGCAGGCAAGAACAACCCTCTGGCATGTCTAGACTATGGGGCAAGAGAATGCTTGTGGCAGGGGTTTGAGGGGGAGATAGCCAGCGACAGCTGTGCGTTGCAAGGGTAGATCTTTCGCAGGGTTGAGTGCGGGATCAATAGAAGAGTCGCTTGGGCTCCTGTCTTTGGCTTTCGCTTTGGTAGAGAGCGTAATCTCTGGTATCAATGTATCGATCTCGGGCCGACCCTGTTTGCAGTTGAACGTTGAATAACATGCTCATGCAACATGCAACAGCGAGACCTGTAACCAAAATATCTACTGCTGTACATGTAATACGTTGTACTGCGCCTGTCATATTTGCGCCTCTTGTTGTTTGTCTTCCTTGCTCAGTAGCATCCATTGGAGGGAACCTTGCACCACAACGCGCCCCTGTGCCTCTCCGTCAGCAGCAAGAAGCGGCAGTAAATGCGGCCGAAACGGTGAGAACAACACCGCTGCTGCTGCTGTTGAGAACTTGTTTGCCCGACGCCGTACACGGTACGGGCTGCTGGTATTTGGGGCTCCTGCGAGAGTGTGCACCGATAGGACCAGGCATGATGAGAGAGCGCTCGCAATGTGCCCCGCATGATGAACCACGGGTCCCTTCATCAAAAATAACAATTTGCAGTACCAATGATCTGCCAGTCTGCGTACTTGTCATGAAGGTCGGTACTACTGGAAGGCCGGAAGGGTTCCCCAGTTTCCCAGTTGTCCCGGCGATGGCTCACATCTTACATGGCAGTAGTTCCATGGTTGATTTATTCCAGTTCACAGCGAAATACGAGTACGCCAGTAGAAGGTGAGGGTCCAGAAAGAACCAGTTCGTAGTCGGGAAGCCCGTCAGCGCGCGCCTTGCGCAGCACACACTGCTGTTCGGGGTTTGGTGGGTGTCGGACGCTTTGTATGCGAGCTGTTCAGTCGCGGCCTGCAGGGCTGCCAGTGTTACTGATGTATATTGATCGGGTACAAGACGCAAATCAAAATGCACCTCGACTCAACCCAACTGGTTTGCACCTACAGGGTTTTTATTTCTTTCGTTCGTCATGTGTAGGTCAGCCTTCCTCTCAAAATAAGGTTTAGGTTGCTGTATCAGCGCATCCATTGGCCAATGTGTGTATGTCCAATTCAAGTAGGGTGTGTCATCGAGTACATATGGTTTCGAAACGGACTGAAAGCTGCAGAGTTGGTGGGGTGGCCTAGATCGTCTGTGACGTACGGCTAGCTCGACAAGGGGAACAGGGGCCAGCCCCTTTGGCTGCCGGACTCGCTTGTTGTTTGAACAAGCGTTGCAGGTTGCCAGCCCTCGGGAGTCAAGGGGGTCACGTGTGGACCTGAAGCCGTTTCCATCAGGGGTCCCCCATCCAGTTTGAACATATGGGAATTGAATGTTTCAATTTGTAGGGCGGCAACCCGGGGTGTCTTTGTCCTTTTTTTTTGCCCCCCCCCCCCCGCCGTCTTTTTATGGTGTGGTGCAGGCGCCAGAGGGATCCCTGGTATTGATCGAGGTGACGAAGAAGCACGCCAAGGTCTTCAAATCAGTCGCCAAGGGCAGGTGAATTCCAGAAAGATCGTCACCACGTGCAATCTTATGCTCTGCTTCCGACAACCATAACGCTGCTAGTTTTATGGAACGACCCTCCCAAGACTAATAATCAAGCTCGATGCTCCCTGAGCAATGGAAGTAGTGATATTTCAACGGATTGTTTCGTGGATGACGTTGAGAGCTCTCTTTAGACGTATCGATCGGTTCCCACTGCTTGGTTGTGGAGCAATCGAGTGTTCAAAGCCGGTCCCTTAGATGTGCGATGACCTTCTTTTTGCGGTGTTTCGGGAAACTTTGCTGAGGTAGCAAAGCCAGCGCCGGTGGTAAACATGCCGAAGGGGCATAAAAAAAACTTGCCCCACTGTGCTATCGATCACCAGACCATGCCGCAGTCAATTCCGCGCATGGGGTGTGTTTGAAGTTCCTGTTCGTGCTGACATGTGATGTGGCATGTGTCGCGCTTAGCTTTCTCGTGCTGATGCATGTCTCCCCCCACCACCCTTGTCTCCTTGATTTCGCTTTTGAATGCCCGCTACCCGCCCTCGACCCTCCTACCGTCTCCATTATATACTGCTGTTGTTGTTTGTGAAATAGCGTGCCTGAAGTTGTGGAGCCGATTGACGAATGGAGGGTACATGAGACAAGCAATAGGGAGAAGAGGAGCCAGGGGCAGGGCAAGCACCACGCAGAAAAGGCAAGAGAGAAGGGGGGAGGCCGGCCGGGTCGTTGAGTTGCCAAGACGTGGACGGTGTCGCGGGCAACACCCTGCGTGCCGTCGAGGTTACGTGGTTTCGTGTTTTGCAATGCCACGGGTTGGTGCCGTTCGCGGGATCGCGTAGCCAACAGAATCCTTCGAAAAATACTCCTCCTGGATGGCAGCAATCAAGGCCCAATGAGAACGGGCAGCTAAGTTGAAAGCACGGTACCTATGAAACGTATTTTCCTTCCTATCGTCACTGTATGCCGACATTGGTGCTGCAGCGGTCACGGGAAACTACACAGGAACTGCACGACTGTGCTATCCACGCTGCTGGCAATGACATGCACGTAGCAAGGCTAACCGTTCGTGAACCTCTACTTGCAGACGGTGTACCCTTCCCCTACCAGCCCCTCGCGAATGTAGGGCTCTTCTCAACTTGGGCGTCATGTCTCGGACTTTTTGTCCAAGGGTTGACGGCCGTAAAACTTGTCATGTTATATTGTATATGTGTTACAACGCAGGCCACATGTACGACCTACGCTCTCACGGCCTTCTCTGACTTCGTTGTCCACGCAATGCCCTCATATACCCATGTGTTGTCGCGCCTTTCCTTAATTCCATGGCGAAATCAGACGGACCCGGTGGCAGAAGAGGCGTACCTCGTCAAGTTTTATATGGAGGAGCTGTCCGGGGTGATCGAGAAGGCCGATTCAGTGCTTCTGGTGAGAGCAATGCTGTTGTGAAGCTGTTGTGAGTAGGACACCAACCTTCAGGTTACTCGGTATCACTACACACGAAAGGACGTTAGGTTTTCGATGTTGGCGACAACCGAGGGTAGCATACGACATGCGACTTTGGTTTCAGCATAAGAGATATTTGCACTGAACAGCAGAAGAAGCCGAATGCTTACGGTGTGAAGACGACAACGGCAAGAACATCTACCCGCCGTCCGTTGGTTGTCAAACTAGGACCTGTTGTTGCTACACCTTCACAGAGGACTGCACCGTCGGTGTAACCACAGATCGAGCTAACACCTGAACGTGTTCCGTTGGGGTTCGTCCACTTGGTTCTCACACAATATGAAACATGACGTCACAGGTCGGTCACGGCAACGCAAAATCCAACATCGCCGAGGTTCTAGCATCGGCTCTCTGCGAACGCCAGCCTGGTTTGACGGTGAGAAACAAGCCGCTCTCTTTCTCTTTCTCTGGCCGCCGGTTGGCACCCCTTGAAACACCCTGTGTATGTGTTATCGTCCCCTTTATTCTTCATTCTGGGTGTCAGCCTTCACCATTCGGTATGAGTTTGTCGACGGTAATGAGTTAACGAAGGTAAGACTCAGGTTTGTGTTGTTCCACTTCCCTCTTGCGGTGCTTGCTTTCAGTTCCCACGCGAAAAGTGCTTAGCAGTCTATTCACTCGTGTTTGTGCATGTTCATGACGAAACGCTCCCAAGTCAATTTGCGAGTTTCATCACGCCGGAGAGATTCGAACCCCGAACATGAGGGTCAGGTTTACGAGGTTACGAACTGAACCGCCGTGTTGACCAGCTTTTTAGTTCACCGCTTTAACCTGGGATAGGAAGTTCCTCCCGATATCTGCTCAGCCTGTCGGTATCCCACTACCCTCCCCGACCGCCGTGATACTGATGATATTTGTACCTACATGTATGTCTTCAAGGAGGGCCAAAAATGAACATCCTCAGCGAACGTTTGTGCAGGCCAGTTTAACGCTCGCTATCGGTGCCACTTGTCTGGTGTGTTTACTGCCTGTCTTCTTGCAGGATAAGATCGAAGATGTTCTACGGGTGGATGGCAAGCACATCACGCAGAACCAGCTCTTGAAGCTGGGCAGGAGGCATCTTACCCACACCGAGGACCCTAGGAGGCCGACCTAAACCAGCTTCACACCGTCAAGAGAGCTTCACACCGTCAAGAGAGCACAACCCGCGGGTGTAGCTTATTTGTCCGATCCTAAGGCAATACCCGCAATGTGAAGAACAAGTCTGCTTTCTTCAGAAATTGCGCCTAAGGTCAATAGACGTCAAGCAAGTGTTGGAAATGCACAGCGGCACGAAATTGAGCCACCACTATCCTCGGCAGCGTTAGTTGCGGTGTGTAGGGGGGTGAGTTTCACTATGAAGTTGTTCTCTCGGCGGTTGAATGTAACGATTATGATGAGTCCCTGTGGGAGAAGAATCTTGGGCGGGGGGGGGGTTGGGAAGAAGGTTGAATCAACATCATTTGTGTGAACCGTGACTCTGTGCGACCTCTAAACTACAGTAGTTGCGAGGATCTCTCTCGTGCCTTACCTCCGATACTGATTCCTCCTTTTTGCCGTTCTCATGAGTAGATTTCGTCCAACTACGACCGACCGCTGATACCTCTGCCGAAACAGACGCGGCCTCCCGATGAACAGACACGGCCTCCCGATGAACAGACACAGCCTGCCGATGTAGCCCATAGCGTCGAAAACTATATTGGCGAAAGCCTATGGCCGGAGTAGATAGACCTCGACCGACACTCACACAGCCGTTGGCTGCACCACGATTAATCCAGAACACTGGAAACGCAGGCAAAAATACGAAAACACGCTCTATTACTTTATTGTGTGCGCTTCTCCAAGACACACCACGAAAACCGAGATCAACAGCAAAGCACGATGTTGCGGGTGCGCACTTGATGAGCACCTTTCAATCCAAACAGTTGAATCAGTATCCGAATTTTCGGTTGAGTGCCGCCATCTTTTCTAGCGCATCTTTTGGTGGCACCCAATCGACGTCTCCCCCTTCCAAGGCCTCTTTCCCGGCAACCTTTTCCCCTACACGTGCGACCGCCGTCGGCACGGAAACGCCTCCACCAACTTTCGAAGGTTTGCCCAAGGGCGGAGGCATTGCAGGCCCTTTAACCGTTCGCTTTGCCTTGGGTTCGACGGGATCATCGTCGTTCTCTCCCGCTAGGCCCGCCTTCGAGTTTTCTGCTCTTCGTTGTTGGCGTTTCGAGGGCGGGGGGGGAAGCATCGATGTCCCCACCGGCGTACCCCTTTTCTTCGTGCCCGATGCCTCCTTACCCTCCTTCACGCCCGGGTGTCGCGTCTCCGCTTGACCCTTTTCAACCCCTCTTTCTCTCGTTCCAGCGCTTGCCACAGTGCCAGCAGGCGATTTTCTGGCTTCTGGGATTGCGTTGGAGCGGCAGGGTGGCGCCACTGGTGACGGCATTGAACCAAGGGTACTAGCAGCTTCTGGTGCCAGAACTGCTCTAGACGGGGCCGTTTTTTCCACCTCGTCGCCGTATTTCTCATGGCTCCCGCTGCCGGTGCTGCCAGGCATAGCTTCCCCATAACCTCCACCTCCCGGCATGTGCTCTCGGTCCACCGCTGCTGCGCGTGTGTCCTTTCTGTCGTCGGGTTCGGCCGCTTGGTCCGACGACGATGAACCCGAACCCCGGGTTGTCGTCTCAGGCACAGGCACCGTCTCCTCCTTGGTGGCTGCGACAGAAGCAGTAGCAGCGGCCGGAGCGGGACTTTTCTTCAAGGTTGGCATGGACGGGCGCGCCGCTTCCACCATTACCTTGAGGAGCGCCTGCTCTTCGCGGAGCGCTTCGCGCTTGGCCGTCAGCCTCACTATCGCCTGTTGTCTCTCCTTCCGTCGGTTTTCGGTCATGAACATGTCTAGCGGGTCCGCCGCAACGCCGCCATCTTCCGCTAACGCTGCCTCTCCCGCCTCTTCCGCCTCCAACTCCGCCAACCCCGCCTGCGTCCTTTCCAAATCCTCCACGACCGCTTCGCCGCGCCTCGTCAGTGCCTCCAAGCTTTGAGCCGCAGCCTCGTTCTGCCCCGGGCCAACCCCGCGCTTACGCTCTGCCGCCGCAGTGTCGTCTGCTGGTGGTGTCACGGCAGACAACTTTTTGGTTTTGTCTCTGGCGCCGAAACGGCGAGCTTTGATCTCGGCCTTCTTTGAGGCGAGGTCTGATTTTGATGTTCCCGACGAGGTGGGCACTACGGGAGCAGTCCTGCGCGACGTGATGAAAGGATAAGACGATTCGTGAACAGAAATCAGTCCGTCAAGCTAGCGAGACACAACGGTTCTTCTAGCAGGTTGGAGGCGGGTGGCCTGTTATGACGTGCAACCTTTGGCTTCGGGGTTGGCGAAAGTGTCCCTTTAGAAATGAAGGCCGGCATTTGATTCCACTCGTCAGCCTGTGCCGTAGATCCCTGTCTACGCGCACGCATGTACCACAACAGCATGCTCGGGCATAGCTTCGTTCCCGGAGACACACAGGGTTGACCAGGCTACGAGTACATCAGGAAAGACTGCGAAAAAGTTCTACCGTGCCGGGATCGCTGCTAAGTTGACTGACAAACTATTGGCGATGTAGAAGTACAAGGTTTGCTGTAGTACGAAAGCCAGGGCTCAGAAATCAGCAACAAAGGGTGAACTGCCCCCCCTCCTTATCGGAGCGGACCCTAGTGTAGTCAGCTCGGCGGCCACTGATGGTTTCAGCACTGCAGCCTCACAACCACCCCGTCCTCAGCTTCAGCTTCAGAGAACGCCTCTCTTCATGGCCGTGAAGTCGCAAGCCGCGTCTGAATGAACTTCAATATCACACGGGAATGCCAAAACAACAGCAACCGCCATGTCTTGCCGGTCGTAGTAGTCGTCGTCTTCTTCCCCGTCCTCTGTGCCTCTCCCCGCTTTCCTCCCGCCCTCTTCACCCCCGGAACCTCCCTCTCCCCCCTCTTTGCCTCGCTCTCGCGCCTTGTTCTTGGAACGGATGGTCTCCTCGATCTCTTCAATCTGTCGGGTCACAGTAATGCGGTCGGTGTCGGGAAGCAAGCACATGCAAGACGGCAACTTGATCCCCCAACCCCAACCAAATAAGCCCGCTGATGAACGGCGCAGCCCCGAGGAATCCGCGGTTTCGCAATCTAGGACACTCGAAATAAGTCACCCGCGTCATTCTCGCTTTGTTTCATGAGGGAGTGATGGCAAACATCTCGTCAACGTTGCTACAGGAGGAGAAATAGGGCGACTTGGCTGATTCCGGTCAGAATTTGCATCCCGCCGACATGTGTCATGACTCGCGAAACGAAACAATGAAAACAGCGATGACGCACCAATCTATCTTCAACCACGATGATAACACATGGAACCATGACAGCAACATCTCCACCGACAACAAGAGTAGCCAAGTATGAATCTGCTTGCGAAGTTGTGTCCATCTCGAGATCTCGTCACAGGCGGGAACACGTACGACGAAAGTACTCGGTTCCAGAGTTGTATGTACTGTCCGATACATGCGGTAAACCGGGTCGATCTCGCTCGCCTGCAGCCTGACCGCCGTGATGGCCTTGTCGTTCCTCGTAAGCTGCGCCTGCTGGCCTTCCGTAAGTCCCCCCTGCCCGCCCTCCTTCGCAGTGATGCGCTCGTTTTCGGTCAACAGGTGTTCCACCTGTCGCCAAGCGCCGTGTCCTCAGTACCTAGAGTGTCTAACCCTCACCCTAACATGATGGAACAACTTCATGTAGATGATGGATGATGAGCCCTGCATCGGTTGAGACATCGCCAAGCTAAACATGGAGCTGTATTCCTAGTAAGTTTTGCTAAAAAAAAATGTTTGTCCTCAAGCACGAACAAAATTCACATTCGCCGAAATCCGCATAGGGTCATGTGTCGCTTTGCACAAGAATAAGGACAGTATTCTGGGGAAAAAAATACATCGGTTTCAATTTACGGCTGGGGTTAGCATGGAGAGCAATGACATCCATATCACCGCCTGAATAATGCTCTAAAACCATATCGGGCATGGCGAAAACACAAAAGTGTGTGTGATGTATGGGATGGAACTACAAAAAGCTGAAAGCGAAGGGCGGATGGTTGGGGTGTAGGGGGACACGCAGTTGTGTTCAAGATTCAACACCTACATAACTAAACATACCTTGGGCTCAACTGGCGGGGCTTGCCACAGATGGCATATGAAACAGCATCACGGGCAGCGCTCGAAGGTCTTGGAGGAACATTGCACATACCTTGGTAAGCTTGAGCTGCAGCTTTTCGAAGAGCTTCGCGTCTCTCTTGTGCACGTTATCTTCCGTTAGGCCAATCCTTCCAAAACCAAGTAAGACAGCACCAAAACCAAACGAGAAGAGAAGCAGCGGAGGTCAAGCAGCGGCAACACGGTCGCAATCGCACCCAGAAAACCAACAATGGCGTACACATCATGCTGGGAGAGGCGGGGGCAAGGAACGACACGTCCAACACTGCAGTACTTCAAACTACCGCAACAACAGCGTTTCTTCGATGCCGCTATCCACATATCTACACACGCTCAGCAGCGGCTTCTCAAAGAGGATACGTTACACCACCCATGACCTAGGCCGCCCTCCCGGCGTACTTGGCATCATGGCTACGCGTCTTACTAATATTGACCGAAACCCGTACGCGACAGTAACCACGTGCAATTGTAGTGACAACATGAGAACACAAGCGCACATACGTGTTCCCGTGCACCACGACCTCAAAGCGGTCAGCATCGTGTCCGTCAACCTCTCACAAAAATTTGAATGTAACAAATTCACCCCCCGTCAAACGGGGCAATGTCATCGTGCACGACCAAAACAGCAGCAGGCCAGCGACAAATCTCTATAGCGCCCATGACTGCGTGGTTAACTTCGCTCACTTTGTGTCGCGCCTTCTCCGCTTCTGGGCTTCAGTTTTGAGGTAGTCAGGGAGTTCCACCTGCGTGCGATAGGCGTATCGATGTCACGTGACACACCAGCAGTGTGCACAGACGAGCGTGACAAAAATCGAAGTGATGAGGTGGGGGGGGCAAGGAGAGAATTCCAGTTACATTTTGTCGCATCAAGCGCGCTCCGAGAGCAAATTCCTCTTGGGGCACAACAGCCATAAAACGTAAACCTTTCAGAGGACAGAGAGGCAAACCGTGACTGGTGTGACTGCTGTGGCTGCTGCCGAGCAAACAACTGCTGAAACGTCTTGCAGGGACACCAAGCAAGTCTGACCATGGGAGGGCAACCATCAAAACTCTATGGAACACCAACTAAAATTAATCCAAAGGGTACGAGGCCAACAATTCATCCTACCATGGTACTCTCTACGGAAAGATGTATCACGAAGTCACATTGTCGGCGTCGATCTTGATGTACTATAGACTTATTGTACGCATTCCCAATAGAGAGTGTGTGCGGCATCTAACCACAGAAACATGGCTTGTTGCCTCGAAGATTCAAATCAGAGAAGAGACAGTCGGATAGAGGCCAGAAAGAGTTTCAATACAATTGACATGACATTGTACAACACCCGTAAATATAACAACAAATCACCTACCTCATCTTCGTCGCGCTCGGCCCCATCCCCGTCCTCGTCTTCCTCCTCGGCTACCGCATCTTCGTCGAAACCCCAGCTGATGCCGTACTCCCCACTGTCGCCCCCTCCTTTCCCTCCGCCCTCTCCCGCCCCGCCTGCCTTGATTTTGGCCAATTTTGCGGCGAGCTGTTTCCGCCCGGCGTCGAGGCGCAAGTTACGCTGTCGCCAACGTGAAAACGGTTAGGGTGGGAAGATGGCGGGCATCGAAGTTGGAGTATAGATCAAAGAGAACGGGTGTAGACAGAGCGACGCGTGTGTATTGTGGTGCCGTTATTGCAGCATAACAGCAACTCATGACATGGTCCTTCTCTTTGCATTCCGCCCTCTGTCTACGCCGGGTAGGCGCTACAACAACATCCATGCTCTGCTATCCTTCATGTAGTCTGAGATCCAGAGCAGACGAGGGGCACAACGAACACACCCCATTTGTGTCTACAGCAAACCACTTACGAGATTGTCACTCTCGTACTCCGCAGGCCTTAGCTCCTCCGGACCCTCCAAGGCGTACAGTCGCGTTGACTCTCCGAACTTGATCACGTCACCCACATGGAGACGGTGAAACTCCTATTAATTGAGTAGGTGTTACGTCCCATTGTGGTTTCGTAGGCCCCGTCCGTCGGAACGTTAGTCCAAGACATAAAAAAATAGAATACAGTAGCGGGGAAAAGGCGAGCGTTTCACGCTGCTTTCAATACAAAATCTTAAACTACGACAACAAGATAAAACGGCCTCACACGCACGGGAAAGCGAGACAGGGGTATTGGTGCTTGGCAAAACGGTGGGTGCAGGTATCCGACAGCTGGCACACATGTTTCTTAGGAAACGCACACTACAACAACGTGGGTGGATGTTGCTCCCTCTCTTCTTGTTGTACTTGCAAGCGTTCCAAGCTATTGCTTTACCTCTTCTTCACGACAAGTAAAGTTGGGTCCGCCTCACCTTGGGTGGGATTTTTTTCTTGTTGACGCTGCACCCGTGCGTGCTGCCGTTGTCGAACAGGAATAGAGCACCTACCAGAGGGGAAAAAAAGCAAAGGACCAAACCAATCGTGGAAAAAAACAAACCAGGAAACAATCATGTGAGAGCACAGCAGTAGACGAAGAAGCAGCAGAGCGATCGCCGGTGACATGTCTGAAGCTAAAGCTACATATTCAGACACACATACACAAGTGCGGGGAAGAGAAACTTGTGGGAGGGAAGACGATGTGCAGCATGAAACGTCCCTGCGAGGGCTGTGTGCACCCCGGGTACCCGATGATCACCAACCCCACAGAATCCAAATGGTCTCCAGGTCTCAACCAACTACCACCATCTTGAACAGCACAGCTACGCACTACAACCACAACACGCACCCTCTCCCGCACCTATATCAGCTGTCTTCTTGCCATAGCCATTACGACCTCTAGCTTTTATACTCAAAACTTCCAACACAGCACACATCACGGGTAGGTGCGTTGCCTGTACACTCAAACATCAAGCGCGGAAACAAGCAAAGATCAGACGCGGCGCAATCAAACGATCAATTTGCGAAAGCCCTCACCATTCTGCCCATGCTGAAGAATGGCATGCTTCCTGGAGATGGACGGGTGTTCCAGCAACACGTCCACGACACCCTGCTGCCTGCCTGCAGAGACCGACAGTTACGGAAGGAATATGGCCGATACAAGATACAAGTTTAACTTTTATGTTGCATTACACCGCCAACTATTTCAAGCGCCAAGCCATAGACACATGCTGGAGACTAGATTAGAAATGGTGTAGAGTGCGGCTGTAATTCGTGTTCTGAGATGTCAACAACTGACGTCAAGCGCACAAACGTCCAACTCGTTCTTAGAGTGGAAGGAGAAACGCGTCGAACACGTACTCCAGGAGGGACGTGCAAACTGGATTGGATGCCTAAGTGGTACAAAGAGGCGCAGCTTCGCCATTGTTCCGGCGAGGTTTGGCAACACTTTGGCAGAAACTTTTTAGGTGTACGAGATACTGCCAATGTGCAAACCCGGTTCCGGCAGCGAATGTGTCGTAATATACCACACCCCCTGGACCGATTTCCAAAGCCCGGTCACTCCACAACGAAGAGGATGCCACGGGCAAACGATACGTTTCGGGAAGCTCTCAACGAGACGGTTCCAACGCCGCCATTTTCGGCGTCACCTTCGCTATTAGTGCTGCTGCAGGTACGCGAGCTTTGGAAATCGGCAGGGGGTGTGGTACCCTCTGCAACCTTTGGCATCCGGTACCCACCCTGGTACAGGGGACACACACGATACACAGCAGGTACAACACATGATTACCTTTCAGGCAACGTAAGCAACGTGCAGCAAGCCCGACTCACCAAGCAGAACATGTGTGCGGTTGTCCAGAGAGATGCTGCCGACCTCGACCCCGCCCTTGAGCACGGTCAAGGACAGCCCCGACGCACCCGGTGCTTCCGTCAAACCCCAGCTTGGAGGTTTGTAGCCGCCCGACGCTACCGCTTTCACGCCGTCGCCATTAAGACTACCTGCGGTCTTTGGCGGGGGTGGTGGAAGGGATGCACTGCCATCCTTAGCCGGATCCAGCGCGGATTGCTGCGCCTTATCGAGTGGGGGTGAGACAGCCGCAGTTGATCCTGCTGTTGCTGCGGAGGAGTTGCCATCGACGCCAGTTTCCTTTGCCCGCGTTCCGGCCACAATTATCGGTGCCGGTACGGGCGGGGGAGGTTCCATGTTGTCGTGATCTTGGAGCAGCAGTCCCTCTCTCTCTCTCTCTCTCTCTCTCTCTCTCTCTCTCTCTCTCTCTCTCTCTCTCTCTCTCTGTCGCCTGCACACCAGCTGGTGAACACCTGCTCTGAGCTACGTCCCTGGGAACATGGGAACCCAACAGTCCCGGGGGCTCCGTGGCAAGATTACGCAAATAGCCAGGGCCCCAAGCCCCGGAGGAGGTTGGGGGGCGCGAATATTTGCAATCCATGGATTAGAAAAGAGAACCACAGTCCAAACATCCAGACGGATCGAAACCCCGGGAAACCGCCCGGAGCGTCCCCGAAGAGGTTCTCCTCCCTCTCCAATAAAAGCAGCTATAATCACGGCGGCGGAGAGCCGTCTGAAGGCGGCGACACGCACCCGCACGCTGGGGCAAGACGAGGAGACGACACACAACGATAACTGGTGAGATCCCGTCCCGACAGCCGTCCGTGCATCCTCTGTGTCTGTGCCTCACCCTCACCCTCTCTGTGATGTTTTTTTGGAAATAAAATAGCAACGGCCGCACCCGCACCAGCTCCATGTGTGTGTTGGTCTGTCTCTTGTGTTGCAGCCTCCCTCATGCTGTCCCACGTGTCGATGCTGCTCTGTGCCTGTTGTTGCCGTCGTACGTACGTTGGTGATCATATGCCTGCACTGGTGTGGTCAGGCCAGGCCAGGCCCTGCCTGTTGTCCTTGCCGTGTAATCCGGAGTCTTTTCTGGCTGCTCGGCTGTATGGTGGTGCTACAGTGCTGGGCTGGTAGAGGTGCAGGCATCTGTGCACGCACTCGCCTAACCTCTTAACTTCATGTGTCTACCCTCCATGCTCGCGTCGTGGGACCCGTGGCCTGCCGTGCGGTGGTGTCATTGCTAGGAATGCTTCCATCCAGTGCTGCTCTGCCGGCCTCTTACGGTGCTCGTGATGCTGGCGCTGCGGGAGCCTTTGCGGGCTACCCTGTACAAGCCCACCCCGTACAGCAACAACAGCAGCAGCAGATATTGACCACCAGCC